TAAGATAATAAAAATGATATAACAAATCGAAGAGTAGTTACATATACATATAATATTTCTATCAGAAATTTATTTTCGAGCATCTGTTGCTGACATAATTTAAAGATACCTATTTTAAGGCAGGCTGTAGTTCTATGAATGATCTAAAATTTTCTCTACGACTGCTGTGCAGGTTAAAGTTCAGTGCTTAACACCAAGGAAAAAAGTCAGGTTTGAATTTCACTGCAAAGTTATAATCTTTTGACACAGAACTTTTATTTTAAAAAATAATTGTGACAGTTGCTCCATCTTATAAAGGGATTATCAATGGAAAGACACAAATTCACAATTGGAGGACGTTGAAAATGATGATATTGAAAACAATTCAGATGTCTCTGATGGTACATTCACCAGAAGTGGTGGATCTTCATCTAGCAATCATTTAGATGGTACAATATATCCTGGAGAACTATCTAGTAGGGTATGAAAATCTTGCTGTCAGAATGGCTTATTTGGAGAAAGTATTTAGTAGATTCCTCTGTTTTTAGCATTTCTTTTTATTATTGCTACTGGTACTTATAATCAACTTTCAAGCGGCAAATAAATTTAGTTTGATTTTAGAGCATTTACATTTCAACCTGAAGCGTAGGTTGATAAAACAAAAGAGTAATGATGCTGTTGTGCTATTCGTCAATCCAGTGGACAGATACACACACATAGACATGCATATACATACATGAATACATGCTCGCACGCACTCAGATGTGCACGCACATGCTTCTGTGTGCACATATACACCTAGACGCAGTTAAAAACATTATTTATATATACACACACACAAACACACAAGATTCTAACATGTGATGAGATTCCATTTTATAAACATAATAACTCACCCTACATTATATTTCATTTATTTATTTTTAGAAAACTTTATATGTTGAATACATAAATGGAAGAATACTCGAATCTTTATGGTATCAAGTAGTATTCGTTTGCATGTGATAGCCACCTAATATTTTTTTAGATGAAAAATGACATCAACACTACAGTAACAGTGCTTTCAAAAGCAAATTGAAGTTCTATACTTCTCTATAATATTGTCCCACTCCCTTAATACTAGGAGCTTATAAAACTACGTGTTTATGAATTTCATTTTTCTTATCTTACTTTTTACTTGTCTCAGAAAGAAGTCATGGACCCAAGTCGCTTCATTTTATTTAAATTGTGGATATACTCAAGTTTACATAGAGTTACAGATTTCTTAATTATCCTCACATATTCTTTGAAAATTTTAATTTCAAGGATTTTGAATTGCTGCAATGCTGGTGATGACAACTTTTCTTATTGCTACAGGATCCTAGTTTCTCAGCATCAGGTTCACGCCATAGCTTGGACTCCATGGATGGCTCCTTTGGCAAGGACAATTATTCTCCTCAAGGCAGTTTTCTGATTGGTCGACAAGATTCAACTGGGTCTCAAACTGGTTCCTCTTATGGCTCATATTCGTTCCATGATTCTGCCAGAGCAAATTACTCATCCTTGAACTCCAAGGTAGCAAGCACAGTAAGCCGTACTCAGAATCATAGAGATGACAGTAATCGAGCTTCACGCACTGTTCCTGCATCACCATTACGAAATTCTGGTTCATTTAAGGACCTGGAAACTGCAGAAGCTACAATTGAGGAGCTTCGAGCAGAGGCCAAGATGTGGGAGCAAAATGCTCGAAAATTAGTGATTGATATGGAGAAACTACAGAAGGACTTATATGACCAATCAAAATGCCAGGAAAGTCTTGAAATGGAGCTTTCAGCATCACGGACACAATGCAATGGCTTGAAACAGGAAATGGAAAATCTGAAGATCTTATATGAGGAATCACTGGCAAAAGAAACTGTAACTGAGAGTATGAAGTTTCAGGCCAAAGATATAGACAGCATTAGAAAGGAGTTTGAAGAAGAGATGAAGTTCCAAAAAGAAGAAAATGCTAATTTGGCTTTACAGTTAAAGAAAACACAAGAATCCAACATCGAGCTTGTCTCTATTCTTCAAGAACTGGAAGAAACCATTCAAAAACAGAAGATGGAGATTGATAGTCTCTCAAAACTTAATTCAGAATTTCAAGTAGGAGCATCTGGCCTTGAATGTGATGATGCAAGGCAAAAAAATTCAAGCAAGCAAGACTTAACGAAGGTAAGAAAGTCCTCTTGTGATTCAGATCCAGAAGATAGTATGTTTGAAAACTCAACAAAAGATTTGCATATGGAGCTTGAACTAGAGAAAAACAGTGAATTAAATTTGCAGCATCAGCAGCTACAGGAATTGCAAAAGAATTTGGAGGGCACCATATGGTATCTGGAGAGAACTCTGGATGATAAAAACAAAGAGACAGAGGTTCTTCTCAAAAAAAATAAAGAGTTAGAGCAAGGTCTTACATCTCAAGTTTTAGTAAAGTGTGAGACCCAATGGAGGGATCAGTTAGCTGAAAAGGAGGAGAAAATTGCCATTTTGGAAGCAAAGTTGTTCACAGCTCATGATTCTCAAAGTTTAATGGAAAAGGGTTTTGAAAATGAGGGTTATCATAATCTAATTACAGAAAATGAATCTCTGAAGGAAAAGGTGCAGGAACTTGAAAGAGATTGTAATGAGCTTACAGATGAAAATCTAGAACTTCTATTTAAGCTCAAGGAATCAAAAAAGGATGTTCTGACAGGTAGTGTCTGTCATAAGTCTTCATCACAAGAAGATCTTGACAATGTTTGCAAATCAGGATTTGAATTAAGCAAACTAAAATCTCAGTTAGATGAAACTGAAAGACAGCAGACTAAGAAGATCACTGTTAAAGGTTTTTCTGCCGACTATTTACAGGTACAAGATGTAGACCTTAAAAATAAATGCGCTGACCTTGAGATCCAGCTAGGGGCTTTGAAAGATAAAGCTAGTTATCTTGATTGTGAACTCTGTAAGTGGCGTGCAAGAGCAGAAGAACAAGAAAATCAGATTTGTGAACTGCAACAAAAGTTAGAGTGTTACCAGGCAAAGGAGACTGAGTTGAAGGTCCTTCCTTCAGATGTCTCTCCTGATTCTGTTGAAAATTCTAAATTGCTTTCCGAGTTACATGAGCAGATTCAACTTACTTTATCTAATGCAAAAAAGTGGTGCTTTGCCCTTAGCTCGCCAACAAAATCTGAATGTTCTTTTAGATCTGATGATTCAGAGATTTCAATTACAACAGATGCACTCACTCAAAAAGAGCAAATAGAAATTATCTTAAAAAATTTTAGCCAGCTGAAAGAATTGTTGAAAGAGAAAACTTGTGGAATTAATAATGGGAAGGAAGTTCAGACAACAGTTGTCAATTCTGTTGAAATCCTGAATGAATTGGAGGTTCATACTTCTGATCAGGGACAGGAGAATCTTAACGAAATACCTGACGATGAGGAGACAAATCCAGATAAGGAATTGACAGGAAAGATTTCTGAAATAAACAAGCTTAAATCTGACAATGTACTGAAGGAAGAAGAGGTTGAGGCTTTAACGCGTTGCCAACAAGAATATGAATCTCAGATTTCTAATCTTCAGAAGGAGAAA